GAGTCTTGTTTGTTTAATGGAAAACATGGCAAAGGCCAGTAGACAAAACTAGAGTGACCTGTGTTGTGGTGAGCTTCTTCAATGTAATTACCTAAGATTTTGGTATACACTGTAGCTGAATGATCAGTTAAATGAAAGATTTAGCAGTGATGTGGTACAGTTTGTTTTAAAGGACAATAAAATAAGATATCATTGCCTGTTTAACATAGGATAACCTCTGTAGTCACATACAATATCACCTCTCCCGATGTAAATCACTTGTAGGAATTGAAATCATCTACATTTTACTAAAATACATCAAGTTCTCTGCATCAGAGCCCTAATCCTCCTGCCACTGAATTCAGCATCAAATCTCTCACTCAATTGCAGTGAGATTAGGCTAATGATCAACTAGTGTGTCCTGCCAAGTGGAGGGCCCCCTCCACTGAGGTTGAATAGTATTCAGTTTGATTAAGCCACAGAAATGAGCCATGCTGCAGCATTATACTTGCCCATGTGCACAGATCTGAAGTGGTTGCTATCTGCACTCACCAATTTATTATATGAATTAAAGGGCCCCACTCACCGGCTTGATATCATTCTCCAGAGAGGTTAAGAAGTCTCCCCTCGTCACCCGCAGACGATCTGCTGTCTCTATATCCACTTCTACTTTGGTGCTGGCCTAATTCAATTACAAGGAAGAGGGTTAACACACAGTCAGTCTCACAGTGCAAGTTACCTCAAGGACTGCGCTGAACATCCTTCTCTGTGTTCAAAGGATTTTGATTCTGTGCTTAATTATAAGCCAATAAAACCTAAAGAAATCTTGTTCAACACCCCACTTAACACACAACTACTGAACAGTTTTCATCTCCAGTTTGAATCATGGCCATTAGCTAGTTCTCACATCTACGTCAGACAGTGTCTCATTAATATTAGCATTGTATAGGGTGGAAATATTAGCACTGAGGGATGGCGATTGAGGGCCTGACTCTGCATGGTCCTCGCTGACTTACTTGAAGACTCAGAGGAGCTAGTGTTAGAGATGGGATAACTGGAGTTCCCGGCTTCCAGCTCTCTACTCTGACCAGGTTCCCACCCAACCCGATTTTAAAACCCTACATGCTTGGTTGGTAACTTACTGCTTTTCCTATATTTACATCAGATGAAGCATGCCTAAGAGCCTATTTTAATTTATGACCAAAATGCCTTCCTAAAAACAGTATGATCAGCATTGCTTAAAAGAGCTGAATTCAGCTGGGAAGCCTTATATAGCCTCACACCAAGAACTGTCCCTTCCAGGCAAAGAATGGAGTCCCATTTCTATCTAAACAGCCCCCCAAGCTTTAAAAGGTAGTGAGTAGGGTTCACACATTCCAGACTTGCAGAGCCACTGGGGTCCTTCTCACTCCTTACAAATGGTTTGTCAGGCACAATGAAATGGCCAAGTGACACTGGTGTGCTGTGCTGCCCACGCTGCTGTAACCGTGCATTTGAACTCATGGTCAGCATATTATTGGGGAACAGCCTTCGCAGGCTGTAGAATCTTTTCATCAAACCACGTACAGCTTTTTGCTGCACAATCCCTCCATATTGCCTAGGGTTAGTTGGTGGATCTATAGCACTTGGAAATCGTGACTGCCCGGGGTGGAAATCAGGAGTCATGAGTGAATTTAAAGCAATTTTTCAGGCCTTAACATGATACAGATAGAAGAACTGGTTCTTACTACTGTGGCATGGCTGCCTGCTGACCCCAAGCAGCAGCAGTTTGCAGATACAAGGAGAAGGGTAAGTACAAATGTGAACTAAATGATTTACTTATAAAGTGGTAAAGTACAAATCAAGTCCATTTCCAATTCTGGGAGCTGCTGGATGTAATCTCCCTGCATCTCCTCCTGTACTTCAATCCTCTGCCCCAGCCCTGAGCCCCCTTCCATACCCTAATTCCCTCCCACAGCCTGCACCTCTGCCCTCTAATCCAGCCCTGACTCTTCTCCAGCACCCTAACTCCCACCCGGACCCCACCACCATACCCCAACCTCCTGTCATAAGCTCCTTCCTGCCCTCCAAACCCCTTTGCCCCTGCCCACAGCCCCATTCTGTACCTCAACTCCTTCATCCTAAGCACCTCCCCAGAGCCTGCACCCCCAGTTAGGACCCTACCCCTATGTTCTGCCCCAGTTTGGAGCCCCCTTCTGCATCCTGAACCCGAGTTTTGGCCCCACCCCAATTATAAGGGTGCCAACTTTTCTGACCAGATGCTATTACCATTCATAGCAATGCATCCAGTCGGGAAGGCTGGCAACACTAATCCCAAAGAGTTTAGGGGAAACCCTGAGCTTCCCCCCCTCCTCCCACATAGGGCTAAGTTTGGTCTGCAACTGATTTTTTCTGGGGGTCAGTGTCCCCCCAATAGGAGAAAGGTTCCCCATGCCACATTACACAGTAATTTGATTTTACTCACTGTCATCAGGTGATGTGTGTTTTGCAACACAACTTTGACAGACTTTGTGATCCTTTTTATACATTTCCCAAAATAAAAGGTTTTCGTTTTCTATTTGTTACTTAAGGTCTAAAAGTTTTCGCTTTCTCTAAACTACCCATATTTTACAGTGAGTGACTTCTGACCCTTACTAAACCATTAATGTGGACAATGACATTTTAAGTGCACCCAGGTGACTAGATGACTCGAGATTAGTATCATTAGTATTTGTGATTCAAAGACTTTTGCTGGGCCCAAATCAAGTTTAGGTGCTGACCATACCTGAAATTCATTACCAACTAAACACCTCATATAGTCTGACTTGTGACTCTTGGCGCAAGAGAAGTTATTGACATGTATTAAGTACAGGAGTTTCATTTCTGTCTGTGCACATGGAGACAAGGTGGACACATTTGACAAGTCAAATCAATGAGTGTTTTCCCTGCCAAAGTCTCAACAGAAAGCCATGAATGTTACCGAATGAGTAGCAAAGTTTACACAGACAGTACAGGGAATGTCGCTCGGGATGAGTAAAGAACTCCGCATCAGAGATCTTCTGACCAATGTGAATGAATTCACACCAGCAATGCCAGACGTTATTCACCCAAAGATGCTGAAGAAATTAGTTGCAGAAATTCCAGGCCATTGCCAATAATAATTGCAAACTCATAGATGACAGGAGAGGTGCTGGAGAACCGCGGAGACACACTAATGTGGTGCCCCTCTTTAATAAAGGGGAAAAGGAAGAGCCAGGGCAGCCAGCTTGTCTTGCGGAGCTACTAGAGCAAAGCTTAAAGCATTCAATTTGCAAGTACCTGGAAGATGACATACCTAGAGTTACAACAAGCCTTAAGACACAGTCCCACACGATAGCAGAATCATAGAATTATAGGGCTGGAAGAGACTTCAGGACCAAAGCAGGCCCAATCCCAACTAAATCAATCCAGCCAGGGCATTGTCAAGCCGAGACTTAAAAACCTCTAGAGATGGAGATTCCACCACCTCCCTAGGTAACCCATTCCAGTGCTTCACCACCCTCCCATTGAAATAGTTTTCCCCCAATATCCAGCTTAGACCTCCCCCACTTGACACCATTGCTCCTCATTCTGCCACCCATCACTACTGAGAACAGCCTCTCTCCATCCTCTTTGGAACCTCCCTTCAGGAAGTTGAAGGCTGCTATCAAATCCCCCCTCACTCTTCTCCGATAAGTAAGCATAAGAAATGCAAGCTACCCATGGTACCATGAAATGGATACAATTGCAAGCAAAGTAACTATTAATGGAATGTTGTCAGCTTTCTCAAGTGAGGTTACACAGGGATCTGTCCTGGTTCCAGTGGTGTACAACACTTATTAATGATCTAGATGTAACTATGGAGATCATACTGATCAAATTTGCCTGTGACTCAAAGCTGGGAGAGGGAGGGGAGGATTCCAACCCCTTGGAGGAAAAAGCTAAAATTCAGAGGGATCTTAATAAATTGAAGAACTGGGAAACAGATGACAGAATGAAATCCAACAGACAAATGTCAGGTGCTGTACTTAGGGAAAATGCTAAATACACTAATGCAGACTGGGGAGTGACTGGCTTGGCAGCACCACTGGATTTGGGAGTTTGGGTGGATCACAACCTGAACCTGAAAAGGATTGCTACTTCAAAACAAGCAAATATAATGTTTGGTTGTATGAACAGAGGCACAGCATGTAAATCACAGGATGTGACAGTACGGCGCTACTCAGCACTGGTTAGGTCCTCAGTTGGAACACTGTCCTGTTTTGGTCACCAAAGTACAGAAGGGATGTACAGAAACTGGAAAAAATCCAGAGGTGAACAACGAAGATGATCAAAGCAATGGAATGCAAGAAAGCTGAAGGAACTCAGTATGTTTAATTTAGAACAGAGGAGATTAAGGAGGAGGGGATATGATAGTGACCTTCGGACACTTGAAAGACTGCTCTAAAATTGGAGAAAAAATTGTTCTTGCTTGCCACAGAGGGGAGGACAATAGGGAATGGGTTCAAACTCCAGCACGGCAAATTTAGACTAAAGAACAAGAAAAACTTTCTAACTATAAGAACAGGAAGCCAATGGAACAGATTTGCTGAGGGACGTTGTGGAAAATCCTTGATTGGAGACTTCAAAAGTAGCCTGTGTGGCCATTTAATCTTAGCTGGTTTAGACACAACAAATCCTACATGTTGGCAGGGGATTAAACTAGATGGCTCTTCTGATCCTATCATTCTAATGATAGCCCAATATTTCTCTAGTACACTACGAAAAATGCAGAATGGTTTTAATGATGGAATGTTTCTTCTGACAAAAATACCCACAAAGCAGAACAAATATTTCTCTTCTTTTTACATTTAAAAAGCAATGAGTGGAGATTTTACATGCAAAAGCACAACAAATGTCATCAAATTGGTAACAAATGCAATGGCAGTAATGGCCCATGTCAAGGTCAAACTAGGGATGTTATATTTCGATTAATCAGCTAATCAGGTAGTCGATGGAATTTCCATTGACTACTCAATTAGTCAATAAGGGGGGCACTTGCTATCCCACTGCACCTCTCCCTTTGAAATGTACAAGAGGCACACTCGGCTCTTGTACCTCTCAAAGGGAGAGAGGTAGCGGGAACCACGCCAAGAGCAAAGCAGTCCCCACTGGCGTGGGGTTCCCCTCTGTGCCTCTTCCTTTGAAATGTACACGAGTCGCAGGCGGCTTGTGTACATTCCAAAGGGAGAGAAGCAGCAGTGCGACCGGCACAAGCAGGACTGTATCAATCCCCGCTAGCCTCTGCATCCCCTGCCCACTGTGCAGACGGTGCTGGGGGTGGGGACCGATTTTTGAGCTGGCTTTCCCCAGCACTGGCTCCTACTCCCCACCCTTGCTGCCTCTCTGATAGAGACAGCAAAGTGGGGGGAAGCAACTAGTCAAGTTCCTACTTGACTACCGGATAAGCATTTGCTTATTGGGTAGTCGACTAGTCACTTACGTCCCTAGGCCAAACCTTCCTTCAAAGAAGCCCACTCTTGCCAATTATGCAGCTCAATATTGAGAGCTTATTGTAAACTGCAATTATATATCAATGATTTTGAGGACTTAAAACTCTGATGTGATTGTTCTGAAAGAAACACACCTGGAGAGTGAAGATCAATAACTAAAGATCAAACTGTACTGGACTCTGTGGTGATCAGA